ACGCATGCGCATGCGCATGCGCATCCACGCGCATCCGTCGATGGTTAGCGATGGGATCGACGCGATTCACTACTCTTGAGAATACTAACTTAAAAAAAGGTTTATTAATTTCATCTCCACGTCAGTGTTGTTTGAACAAACATTTATTAAACATATCAGTACATAAGTCAAAGTAAGATCGAGGCTGTAAGTAGATACTTCGCTAATTCTTCAGATTCAGTTTAAACACAAGACGTAGACTTGGTTAGTATACACAGAGCACTCGTGTAGATAGTTGATACCGTTAACACTGTTACGTTGGAGGTAATTATTTATCCGTTACTCATAGGTGAAACGTTAATTCAAGATAATCGACAAAGCATTATCTGGTATTCGCGTGTGAAATCGAGGAATTTCTTTTGCAATACCAGCTACGCACGCGAGGATATTGGTCCCATCGCTAGACACATGCACGCCAGCGCCGCGTGAAACAACCAGTGGCGTATCCGAAGGGAACTGTAATGGAAGATATCGAGCAGTTTTTCAAGTTTCATTTGTTTCCATTTTTAACGATCAAAGTACTTAGATTTTTTTACATTTTCGTAGCATGACTGTTCTTCTTTGCCTAGCGTTTATGATTGTTTATAAAAATCCATTGTATTCTCGGTCAGACGTAAATTTACAGATCGAAACGAACGGTTTAGAAACAGACCTTGTCTGCCAATTAATCAAGCGCGTCGCGGAGCACCGTGTTGAAAAAGGAACAATGATTTTTGAAATAGAGTCTGCGGTGTACTCTGGTTGAAATCGAGAACCGGGCACTACGCCACTGCGTGAGAGTAGTTCGAGTACCTGTACGGTCTATATCTGTTACCATGTTCACTGACTGCATGTATCTTGGCCGTGAAGCAGTAAACGGGATTAAACCGAGTTGCAATTCTAACGCACGGTGAACTTTATCTGTTCGCTTCATTTACTCTCTACGTACACGAGAAATTGAAGCGACGCGATGATCATTTTCTGATAAAACATTTGTCGAACTTAATCTTTTGCACTCGAATCACGCGGCTTGAGAACAAACGACGTATTTATATCTCATCGAGCGTTAATTAATCCTATAATTAAATGTTTTACTGGGGAAAAAAATGTTGCACGGGCTGATGCTTCCGAGAGAAAATCATGATCTACATTAATGGATCTCCGGCAGGCCCTCCCCTCTTTCGGCAAAGAGAAGAAAATCTTGATCGTATTTGTAACACGAGTCCGTTTGCTAATAGAGCGTAACATTCATGCGAGATCGTACAACTGACGGGGTTTGCCCTGCCGTGGTATGTGGCACATCCTGATCCTTCTTAGCTCCTGCTTTGGCATGTATTAACATAAAAGAAAGTGCGGTCCAAACTGCATCATGCAAGACCATTCAATCTTTGACGCGGTTTGCACCGTCATTTTATAGCGAAAGTAGAAATTGTCTTGTTTTATATATTAGAAGACAACGTTAGTCCTGAATACCCTTCGATGATCGGTATTGGCATATTTATTTTTATTCTCTTCATAACGTGATTTTGTCACCGCACAAGCGTTTTCCAAACGTGACGAATACACGTAATCGTTCATTGTAACACGAGAACTCGAGTTCTTTCATAAAACTGTCACTCGATTACGACAACTTACGGTTGTATTTCAAAACGTCAGCAATAGAATATTATAGGATCGTTGAACCCCCGATGGAAATAGGAATAGCAAGGTGAAGAACACTATTTACTATCTTCTCTTATCACATTTATTATACATGAGTAGTTACATTGCTTTGTTAGGTATAGAATTAATTTGCAGAGAAAATAAGAAAAAAAAAATGTGATATGAAAATTTTTATTATATTAGATAAGGGAAAACTAGTCGAACCAACTATTTTCTTAACGTTTAAAAATTTCTTTCACGTTTAAGTCGTCTTTTTGAGATCGTTTCGCGATTTAACTGGTTAACGAATTGAGAAAAAAGTGTTTGGCTTGGTAAAACGGTTTAATAACAAAATAAGGTGAAAGACTATTTTAGAAAGTGATTACGAGAGCTGTAGTTTCACGTATGCTGGACGACTCGATAAAAGGCCCCCACCATTATCGTTTATCAGTGACCTCGTGCAGTCACGCCTCTCCGATAAGAAAGAATCAACCGATTCCTGTGTTCCTTCTTCGTTTCTATTCTCTGCATCGTCAGAGTGTTAATCTATTCTTCAAATTCGTATATTCTGTTTGCGTTCGATTACTTTGCGCGGTTGCAACATAAGTCGATAAGGTGGTACTTTTTATACCATACGATCATGGTCAACGGCAATGGACAGCTAAAAGTGGTTACCTGGAAAACCATTAATTTTCTCGAAGTCGAAGAAAGCTTCTACTTGTACGAAGTACTCTCGAAGTGAAATTTACGATAATGCTACTCGACCACAATGTAACCAGCCATTTCTCTTGAACAGTTTATGTTAGAAATTTACTGCAAATCGTTAGAGCATTTGCTGCTAATAGAATCATTCCACCTGGACGTTTAGGAAGTTGGAACTTTGTACTTATTCTTTTAAAGGATGTTGGTTAATTAACGAAGAACAAGGTAGAGATTTATCACCTTACAAGGAGATTGTATTTTCTTCCTCGAGAAATCTGAATTGGAATCATTATTGGCACAAGTTTGCAAATTCTTCTGATCAGCAGCAGCAAGACAAACGTTTAATATATTGTAAATCTTAACGAAATCACGAGCCACTCGACTGGATAATTATTCCCAAGATCCAAATTGTTCTTATTATTCATAAGTTTCAATGAACACTGATTTATTTCGGTTGGATTGAATAGACACTGTAGGACGCACCTGATGTGTCGCCAGTTGTATTACACGTAAGATAGTATAGGGACGCATAAGGTGCGTCATGGTTAAACTACAAAGCTAGTTAAATATTTTTCCATTTAATGTAATACACATAGGCTACTCTTGTTTCTGTTAACTTCTTCACGACGCACCGGGTGCGTCATTCGTTGTATCTCTTATAGAACGCACCTGGTGCGTCGTCTGATTGGAACGCGTGTGTGACAAGGAGACAGACGATTTGCCCGGAGATGCCACCGGTTCAATTGAACGGCATGCAGACAACGTGGCCGTTGGTCACTGCGAAATAGAGAACGACGTGTGAAATGGGTATCGTCATGTACCGACCGGATGTCACTTCCTGCTTACCACGTCTGCGCATCATTGTAACGTGCACCGTACCTAGCGATGGGAATAAGACGAAGCCTCTCCCAGTTTGCTATTGACCATTTTCAACGATGAAAAGGAGAGCAACGTTGGTACGGTGGATTCAATTTGGTCTGATGAGTTTCAGAGTAGAGAAACGACCAACGCGTATCAGGCTTCCATAGGGTAAAATGGCGATACAGTTTTCCACGTATATTAAACTTGGAATATCTAGGAATTATGCAAATGAGAACGAGCGGTAGGCTAGAAGCAAAACTCGTGGTTCGAGCAGAAAACAGGCAGGACTTCCTAGTGTCTATGGAGTTTGCTAATAAGGTGGAAAGGGAGGAAAGAGATCTGTAAGTGGTACAGGAAGCGACAAGCGACTTGGAGTTTCATGATAAGTGATTTACAACCGTGACTTTCAGCTGGGTCCTCCCTCTCCTGTTATTTCTCTCCCTCCCCTATTCTATCTCCGTTCCACTATCTTCTTTCTCTCTTGAGTAGCTGGTTCGTTCTCCGGCAAACGGTAAACCGTGTTATCACAACTATGCCAAAAATGCAAATCAACGAGAGGCCTTTCTAAAGAGGCTGGAATGCAACGCGCTCGAAAGTCCTGGAAAGGCTTGTCCTGAGAGATTGCGACAGATGCAGCAACCTATGGGCTGTACTTATGAATTTTCAACCAATTTTAATGTTATTAATCCTATTTCTACTGGGTCAGTCAATGGGTTCGTTCATAGTTTTTTATATGTTGCGTATAAAAATATATTTCTGAGTAATTACTAGCCCATCGCCAACAGTCACGACCATTTCGATTGAGAAAGTCCTTCGTTATTACGACAGGATTTATTTTTGACGTTCCAGCAATCAACCGCCCATAGAAAATATCCCGGTGAACCTTTGATTAAATTCTGACAAGAAAATCGTTTCACCTGCTTGCAGAAACGCCAAGAATACAAGGCGTGTTTGACGAAAAAAAGTTCACAACTCTCCCGAAGAAAAATGAAAAGGATCGATGTTTCATTGATAAAAAGTTATGTTTAAAGTTTTCTTCTTTTTATTTCGTCTACGCTCTACTCCGCAGCAGTCACATGCGCGTAGAATCTTTTTCTTGGAATAAATCAATAACGAATGACCCCGAGACTCTCCTGTGGAGTACACGACCTTCTGAATTCTTACTGACCTCATCAAACGTGATGAAAATGTTCAGTTAATTCCTCTGCAAAAAAAACGTCGTCTCCTATCTTCTTTCGAAAAATAAAACAAAGTTTACTTAGCTCAACTGGACATCTCGAGCAACCTTCGAGGCTGTTTTACGTTCAAGCCCGAACGTTGCAATTAAGGTCTATTTGTGAATAAATTTATCTGGCAGCAGACCAACCGATTGTACTTACTGCTGTTTACAACAGTTACTGTAATGTGTTTGCTAAAGACATTAACTGACACGAATTTGCTGTGCAAATGACTCTAATTAGGATGGCCGTAAGCAGAGCGAGCAGCGGCTGTGTCGTGTGTTAACCACGACTGCTATGTGTTTGTAGATTTTCACGCAGAATCGTTTAGAAGCGTAACGTAATAATCTTTAACCATGAGAGACGTTCCGAAGGAATTAGCGTAGAAATGATTGCAAAAGCGATTACGAGAGAACATCAGTTTAGCTTCCTATACCTCTAGTGTATTCGATGCGATATTAACTAGACGCGCGCGGGTCTAGGGAAATTTTTCTTTTTTAAATATTTATCCCAAGAGTATAGAAATTCTAACTCAGCGTTATTGTATTTGTTCTATTTCAGGGTACAAACGGTCCGAGACCGACGTACGTGGGTGCTAACAATGGTAACGCCGGTGGCGCCGGGGGCGGCGGCGGTGGTGGTGGAGGAGGTGGCGGAGGCGGCGGCGCCACGGGTGGCGGCGTCGGTGTGGGTCCAGCAAGCGGAGGCGGCGGCGGCGGAGGTGGAGGTGGCGGCGGCGGTGGTGGTGGAGGCGGGCACGGATTGAAGGGGAACACCGGTGGCGGGCCACGAGGCGGGAACCCGGTGCAGTATCGTGCGAGCGGTGGTGCGGCTTGGGGCGCAGCGCCGCCCTCTCATGCGGCTGCGGCTGCGGCTGCGGCGGCCGCCGCTTATCCGCCATACACGCGGTATCCAAGTGCGGCTGCAGCTGCGGCGGCCGGACAGATGCCCGTCGGAGCACAGCAACTACCGCCTACGGCGAATCCTTACGCCGCCACTTACGCACAGCACGCGTCGGTAAGTCCCTCTCCTTTCGTTCCCGATCAACTCGAATTGCACTTGTTAACTACAGAAATTTATGTCGGTCTCATTGAACGCCGACTTTATTTCAGAGCATTTGGAATGATCTCTCTCTCTACACAGACTGCTTTGTAGCCGCTCGAAGAGATACAGGGGATTTATTTTTTTAACAACGTCATGTTGCATTGTTTATCTTTATATAGTTCCTGCTTTTAATCATTTTTATCGTACGATATGGAAAAATATATTTATTCTTCCCTCCTTTTTATTATTTGCGGTTAGAGAGGTTCTTTGTTAAATGAACAGCAGGGATGATGAGATATGCACTGTCACTTAGATAGTCACCGTGCAGCGCGAACGTCTTGTATGTTCTTTTTTTCGAATCTCTTTAGTTGATAAGGTAACCTATAAACTGTGCTCGAAAAAGAATTTTGTTAAATAACGTATAGTTTTGTTTCATGCGGGAATATTAGTTAGTATGTTTTTGGTCCTGTCAAAAATGACGCGCGCAGACAGTAGGAGTGTGTTAACCTTTGCGCAGCGAAAGGGTTAACCCTTTCTTAAACCGGGTGGGGCCATGACAACGCGGCATGTCGGTCTCGTTGAAATGATGCGCATTCTTTTTTTTTCGTCAATGATTCCTTCTCCTCTTAATTTCTAACTATGATTTTAGATTGATTCTTTGAAATGTGTATGTATCTCGCATCGAACAGTACATGTGTACGTTTTTCTTGACGTATGCTTATATTTCGAAGCAACCGGCATAACTTCAATGCATAGATTATTGTAAGCACCCTATAACTAGTTACTAGTGAAGTTATTTTCTAATATGTAGAATGATAAATCACTTTGAAAATGATTATTTATCATTTATTTCTATTATATACGATGTTAACCTTTTTGTTTTGCCGGGTGGGGCTACTATAACCTCCGTGTACTTTGTGTTTTGTAAAAATTAAACTATAAATAATTGTCAATTTAGATTTCTTATAGAACGATAATATTTATTTGACATTTAATTACATGGTTTAATTTACATACATTTTTAAATACATTGCAGTATGGTGGACAACGGGTGCCTACAGCCTCTTCTCCAGCTAACACTAATAGTAGTTCTAGCAGTGCTACCGGCAGTCAAAGCGGGACAATGAGCACAAGTCTTAGCAATAATGCTATACAAGGACAGCAAGCAGAACAACTATCGAAAACAAATTTGTATATCCGTGGCCTCAACCAAAACACTACCGATAAAGACCTTGTTAACATGTGTTCTCAGTAAGTCATTCGTGTAATTACAGGATTTCTGACTGTTAATAGGGAGTTAATGATCGCATGAGAATCTTATTAATGTGACTTTAACTTCTAGTTTCTTTTCAAGATGAAGGAGTGTATTATTTCTAATACAGTGTGTTTTTGCAGATATGGAACTATTACTTCTACGAAGGCAATTTTGGATAAAAATACGAATAAATGTAAAGGTAATTTACTAAATTTTTAATGATAGAGTATTTACTTGTTTTGGGAATTATTTCTAATATTTTTTATTATAATTTTGTGTTACAGGTTATGGATTTGTAGACTTTGAGTCACCAGTGGCGGCAGAGGGTGCTGTGAAAGCACTGGTCGCCAAGGGCATCCAAGCACAGATGGCGAAAGTGGGTATCTGGTTGCTCCGTAGACTGCCCAGTGTACGTTGGTTGTGCATGCAAGTACAGTAATACCAGAGTAACAGTAAACCTTTTCTCTTTCTTTTCTTCCTTTTCCTATTTCCCACTATCCTATCTTACTTTCTTTTCCCTTCTTTATTTTGTTTATCTTCAGTCTTTTATCCTATGCTGAATCCATCTTTGTGTTTGAGTATAACTAATATACCTTTTATCTTTTTGTTGATACATCATTTTTGTTGATATATAATGATCAAATGCCATTAATATGAAAAAAAAAAAAAGAAGTTCTCATTCCCATATTGCTATGATAAATATGTACACAGTACAGTACTTTCATGCATTATTTACTATAAAAAGTTGGATAAGAAAGTACTGAAATTTTAATTACAGTAAATGCTATGCTTGTCTTTCAATAATCACTAGCATAGCTGCTAAGTATAATGAAAAGTTGGATTGTGTAATAATATTATTTTTTTTAGGCATATTCATTTATTTGTAAATAAGTAAGAAAATTTATTCAATTCGTTATGTGATAGAAGTTTTATTTCATTTCATATTACTTTCATAAGCCATTAGGTATTGTAATACATATTGACGTAAGTTTATAAGTCCTTTTATTGCAGAAGTTATTTTTAAAAAGTAGTAATTAATATTATTTTCATTGTTGTTTTATTTTATCTTATAACAATTACCTAAAGACAAGCATAGCATCTTGTCCATGGCATCATTGCTCTGCTTTCAGCCCCTCTAGATATGCTTAGAGTTGTACATTAACAGGACTATTTAGTGTCTTATAATCGTTGCGTTACGTAGAAAAAGTACTATCTTTTAGTATAGTAATGTCAGATTAAAAGAAAATTACAAGTTTCGTGAATAATGTTTAAAAAATTGAAAGTACTTCAGTTTATTGACAAGTGAGAAGGGACTATTAATAAAACGGTGTAATTTCTTTAATTTTTAAATTCTCAGCTTCTTTTTCGTTACTTTGAAACAAATGTATTTTTACTAGAGGGGTGACATTAAATATAAACTATATTTTCATTGATAATTAAAGTTGTAAGCACAGAATGTAATATATAAGATACGGTATCAGTGGAAATATAGTTGCAGGCAATCATGCATAACTTAAACAAAAAAAACCTTATACAAACGAGTAAAAAAAAAAAGACGCTTCTCCTATTAGAACCTATCTCACTTGTCTACAAATCTCTAGTCTTCACTAATTCTATCTGTCATTCTATCTCGTGTACCTATTGATTGCTTGTTGCTGTACCTCGGCCACAAATTGCTGATACTGCTGTGTCAATACATTTATCAGAAAATTGCATTCATTTCAGCACTAATTCAAGCCTCTAGCAAACATTTAATATACCCCCAAAATGTTTGTGTCCATGTCCTATGTATAAGAATCAGTAGATCATACTATAAAGAGTAAAACATTCTTTGAAATATTCTGTTAAGATTGCTTCCAAGTATGGCAGTACAAATAATACTATACAAATGTAATATGGTATATTTTATTTTTTCTGCAATTTGTCAAATGTTATGTGTTTGTCTTCTATTCTAATGATGTGCAAATATTTCAAGAAAATATGGCTTATATTTATTTAGTTTTGAAAATTTTTAATCTAATTTTCTACTCATATACGCACATTGCCAAACAGTATTGGCTCTTGCCTATATTTTATCGCTGAAAAAAAAAAAAAATAAAACTAACTTGGAATGGTTCTTCTAATCTGGCCGCGGTAAAAGCACGGGGTGCCATCAGCAGCTGTGATGATGTCAGTCGCATGTGATATGATACAACTAAACGAAGTACCTATTATTAACTGTACTCAGGGTACATGGTACTTACTTACTAATTAGTGGTGCTATGTCCAGATCAGGTGCTATCTTATTCCTGGGGTGTTGGTTGGTTCTTATTGATATAATACTTAGCTTGATTAATAAAATTTAACCAGCACACCAAACAAGTTTAGGATGTGTATTTGGGAATTTCTATAAGTTTTTATTTTATGATGGTTTAATACTTTATATAGGAACTTATTATATCTTGTAAGTGTACTGATACGATACGTAGAAAGATGCATATATTTTTTACAAAATCCTTTATACACATTCGCACTTGATCAAGAACTAAATCACATTCTATTGAGATATATATTCATACTCATACATATATGTATACATAAATAACGGGTATGTGTACATTTATGTGTATATATGTATATAATATTTTTCATAAATATATATATACATATATGATGCCATAAGCTTGGCTTATATCATAATATTTTCATTATTTATTTTTTTGTTTTAATGCATTCGCAAGATTGAAGTAAATTGTCGTAAAGTATAAGTATATTCAAGTAACTGTAGAATTGATTGATTTTTGAGAGAAATGGTGGATCTCAAAATATGCTTGAGGGTGCATAAATATTGAATTCTAGTTCGAGTTCAGTTTAGTGTACATGTATCTTTCCCTTTTTGTTCTTTACATAAGAAAATTCGTAAACGAGGGAAAACTTGAGCATGAACACATGTATATGTATGTGCATACATCTTATATACAATGTATTTCTTTTTCTTTTTTTTTTTCCAGTATTATTATCAGATAATTAGGCTTACTTTCATTCCTATCTCATAATGTAACTGTATATATGTGACGTGCCTGTGCTTTTTTTGTTATGCTTGTTTCCAACAACATGTCATATGTGATTGGAATTCTATTTCTGCTTTGAATGGTTATTCTTAATATTGTTTATTATAAATGACTAGATAGCTTGCATAATTTATTTGTTATTTGTTATATACGCATATATGATTATTCAAATAAATCTTCTAAACAATTGTAGAGAAGCAGCATAAATTCAAATGTTATTTGTTAAATTTCGCTGCTATATTAGTTGTACAAAGACAAAGAAAAAATATTTAACATTGGAAATATGCTTAGAAGAGAGAATTTTTAACAAGGGCTATGTTAATAACGTTATTCTATAAAAAACAAAAACAAGAAATTACAAATTCTTTATTATTCGAAAACATACAGTTATTGTTTTATTATTCACATAAAATAAACAATGTTTGCACAGGCGATATTCAGTACCGTGATTTTCTATGAATTCATTATTTAATTTTCAATTATGTTCATCAGCACTGAATGCTATAGGTATATATAGATTATTAAGTTCAACATTATTTTCTTTTTTTATGGAATAAAGAATGTATTTATGCGTGTGAGCATGCTTTGCACATAAATGCAGAGTACATATTATGTTGATTTTGATCATAAAAGCATCCATAAAGCAAATTTGGAGAACCACCAGAATGTGGTAAAGTAATGTCATGAAGCATGATAATCTCTCGGTATTAAAGATCATAATTATCTTAATTCATAATAAGTCGTTTTTTGAATACTCACTTGTATATTTTAATATTAGATTAAAATAATCAATATAGTATTAATGGTCTTTTAAGTAGTATCTTGTAGATTTTATGTAATTTTTTGATAAAAGGAATATTGATAAGTTATGTATATAAAGGATTTGTGTTTTAAATATTGTGTAAAAGTTTAGTTTTCTAAATTTCTTGCATTGTTGCATTGAAACGAAATTTAATTTTAAGTTATCATTTTAACATTCTACGTGAATGTGAGAGAAGAAATAATATTAATTTCGATTGAAAACTTACATCGTAAGTTTTTTTTTTTTTCTCAAAAAACTATGTAAAATACAATAGACTTTTTAATGTTCGTCTTATACAAATCACAGTAATTAATTCGTCATTGTAGTGATCTCGTCTGTGCATTCATTGATAATCATATTTATGTAGGTATATGCAAATACATATGTATCTTGGTGATGAATGTTAAAATGATAGACACAAAGCTTTTTTTTTTGAAATTTATATACATATACATATATACACGTCACGAGGTGAAATACAATAAGTTGCATAGTATTTTTACTCTCTTCTCAGCAACAGGAGCAAGACCCCACCAATTTGTATATTGCAAACCTGCCACTGAGCTTCAAAGAAAATGATGTTGAGGGTTTACTCGCTCAGTATGGGCAAGTTATTTCAACGCGTATATTACGCGATACTGCTGGACAAAGTAAAGGTGTTGGATTTGCAAGGTTAGCACTGGTTGGATTCTTTAAATCAAACGCTATAAAGTGAATAAAAGAATTAGGATCCTGGGTTATTGTTATGTTTAAAATTGCATTTTTTATATCAGAATGGAGTCCAAAGAAAAATGTGAACAAATAATTCAAATGTTTAATGGAAAGGCACTACAAGGGGCTAAAGACCCTCTTTTGGTGAAATTTGCTGATGGTGGTAATAAGAAAAAATCATTATACAAAAGTACAATATGGAGAGAAACTGGAGAGGTAATTTATATTAATAACTGAAAGAGAACTAATCATATATAATCTGTAATGTTTTAACGATTGTTATATGTATTTACACAGAACATGACTTTGAATTATGATACAAGCGGTGTTGGTCAAAATGGGGTTGCAACTACTCACATGCTACCCGCAGCCACTTTAACACAATACGGTCGTCATTACGGCCAAGCTTTGCCTGGTTACAGCGTACCAGGAGCACCTTGGGTTACTCCTTATTTGGTGCAAACTGCCCCTCCACACATGCAACAGGTCGACGTGAGTTTTTATACAAATTTTTTGTTGCTTTTGTTTCTCTTCTATTTCAAATATTTATACGTTAGTTTAGTTAGTTCTCCATACGCTGGTTTTCACTTTACATAGATTTATTGAATTGTTTTTCTCAAGTTCTTAGTTTTAAATTACAGTTCATAATTAATGTTAATACGAATAGCTGAATTTTGCAAATTAAATGTAAACTCTGTATTACAGATGATGCCATCAGCTGATCCTAGCAACCCACAGTACAGTATGATTCCTCAGCTTACTACACAAATGTCTACACTGCATCTTGGCACTGGTTCCGTGAGTATTACATCATCTCTTTTATTTTTTATTTTCATACAATTTTAAAACAAGTGCTCTTCTTTATTTCTTACTCAAATGTGTGCTAAGATTATGCAACATATTTTACTTTTAATTTACATATGGTTAAAATATTTTTTCAGTACATAGCAGCAAGCCCGCATCCCTATCCTTATACTACTTACCCTCCTAGCATTATTCATACCATGCCATTGGGTGATTCTGAACAAACAAGTAATGCGGCATCTCCTGATGACTCCTATCAACAATACCAAGCTCAGCAGCCCAAGTAGGCTACGGTTTTTAGGTACAGGCAACATTACACTATAACACGAATGAATTTGAAGAAAGAACAAAAAAAAAGAGAAAGAAAAAGAAAAACTTGAGTCAAGCTAAATAAATTTATTTCAGATACGATTACACCGAGGGTTACGTAAGTTAGGAGAGCCACACCTGTTGATACGAAGGATTATATTAATGAAGAATAGATGAGACTAAATACATTATATAAAGTCAGATAAGATTCTTCCTCATGATAATTGACTTGCCAGCCATCTTTTATACATTTTATCCATCAGATAAATAGGTGAAAGTAGTTAATATTTTCCAACGATTAGAGAATGAATGTTGTAATAAGACGGGGTACGAGTGCTCGTGTCATCTACATTTGTTCGGCACCAGCACGGCTCCATACGCTGTAACGTCAACACATCATTACGACAGTGACAAAACTGATCATTCTACGACGGACAGTTTAGTGTCAAGCTGATAGGCTTCCAGGATTAACTTTAGGTATTACATTTACTAAGGAAACGATAAGTCGAAGCTGAACGCTTGAGAGTGTGAATAAATATTTTAACAAAAACTTGTAAACTATAAAAAAAAAAAAAAGAAACGCTGCTCAGAAAAATATACAAAGGAGAATTCTTCCCAAGAAAATAATAATAATAATAATAATATACAGAGGAAAAAGAAAGCACTTCCAAATGCTAGAGTTGATAAAAAAAAAAAAAATAATGAACATTCAGATTCTGTTAATTGTAATCAGTACCTACCGGACTTGTGCCAGCTGGCTGGCCGGTGGCTGGGCTGAGAAAGAAGAGATAACGATCGGTATTTTTTTTACAAAAATACCGAAACTAAAAAGGAACTCTTCCTTAACAGCGCACACCACCCCATCCACTAAACTGCACTCTCATCACAATTATTTCTTTTTGTTTTCTTCTGTTTCGTTCAGACATTCCAAGCCAGGCACATATATTGTATGTATGTATTGCCACGCGGAGATTTTTATCTACTTTTTACAAGTACAGTTCGCGTTCTCTTTTTAATCACGGACGACTCTATATTTTATGAACGAAAAAGAAGTGAAGATTTTAAAGAAAAAAAAAAATAAGAATAAATAAAAAAAGAGGTAATAAGAAGCTTTATTTCTAAAAGAAGAAAAAAAAATAAAACTTCGGGATAAATATGTAATTATTGTAACAATGAAGGAAAGGAACATAGTACTTTTTAGAGGATTTATATTTATGAGTACAGTTATTACGAATCGATATCAGTTTTAATTGTACAGTGAATACAGATATTTTTTTTAGAATTGTGCCTTTTCAGACAAATCCGCTAGACAGGGATATGCTGAAAAATATTATAATATATTTTTACGTCGGTATGTAAATGCGAAACTTGAGCCAAATTTTCATCTTCTAGTTAAGAAAAAAAAGAAATATAATTGTTCTTGCGTTGTAGCCAGTTTAAATATCACTGCGTTTGTTTTTTGGTTACGAATTTCGAATAGATTTTGTATGTGTATAGTTGCCACTAACGGGATTGACGGATCGGTAACCATCGTAACGATCCGTTCGGAGTCTAGGAACAAAAAGAAAATAATAATAATAATAATAAAAAGAAAAGAAATCAAACGGCGGCGGATTCATTGTAAACCAAGAAATAATTCACACCGCCCGAGAAAAATGAGAGACAGAGGATAGGCTTGTTACAACGGGATACGATAGATAGAGTGTAAATTAATTTATTATATCGAACGAACGAGGTAAAAAAAAAAAAAGAAACGTGTTACAAAATGGCGGACGATAATGGGGACTGGAGGAAGAACGATAGGCGAGAGGAATCGAACGTGAGGAAACAAAAAGAAAGAAAATTCAAGGATTTTCTAATCTACGCGATGTCTCGAAAGAAATAATGAAACCACCCTCCTCTACTGCGTTCCTCTAAGCCCGTTTTTTACATCCGGTTACAGTTTTTTCACGTTGTCTGACTTAGATCGAGTCGAGGAACGATTAGCAGAAAGCTTTCTACCAAATATTGCGAGCTCCGGGCTCGAAGTGGCGGGCAGGTAGTTAGATAGAGTTAGAGGCGAATCGTAGCTATTATTATAATATTACAATAATACGCTGTATTATTATAATTAACGATTACTATTATTGACGTCATCTAAAGTATGAAAGATTTTTACACTGTTGAGACTTGAAGTAAATAATATATTTAGTTTATTTTGGTACATCACGATTTGATGACAAGAGATAAAAAGATGAAAAAAAAAAAAAATGGTATGAGCTATTTTTTAAGAGACCGATTATTACTCGATTTGAGTCCATACATTAAAGGGGAGAAGAAGAAAAAAAAAATAATAATGAGAGAGCAAGAGAACGAAAGAAAGAGGCGAAAGGGGGAGAACCTATTTGCGAGTGTGTAAGAAAAAGAAAAAAGAATTGTTGCACAAGCGATTGTCACCACGACTGACAACAAAAATCACATGTGATTAAATAGTGAATTTTGAAGAATTTTACTAATAGACTTGTACTAAATAACTAATTATTATTGTGACGACCAAAACAAAGAGCAGCAGTTTAGTGCTGACTGAGCGGAAGGAACAATGTGGTTCGAACGCTATAATGCTCCTGCAGATACGGAGCCGCACTGGAGAGCGGGCAGAGAGGAGAAATTAGAGAGAGAAAAGGTGAACAAACAAGAATGTTAGGAACAACGAGCGAAAGGAACGAGGAGGAAATATTCAAAGGTGAATGTGAATATAAGAATGAAAGCATTAACAAGGTTTGAGTGAAAGCGATAGGGAGAAAGAGAGAGAGAGAGAGAAAGAGAGGAAGTGTGAAAATGTAAGAACGAGTGCGTCGTAACCTATTGTATAGAATTTTGTGAAGGAGGACACTGCGAGATGTTGTGTAGTTAGTGTTGACTATGAACATAGGTTAGGCACCATTTTTGGATAGGAAGTAATCAATTAAGTGATTAAGTTTAGTTAGATAGTTAGCTGATAGTTAGGATTATATAACTGCCTCATCTTGTTGAAGGAAAAAAAAAAATAACAGATACACAAAGAAGAGGCACCGTTCAGCCTATGCACCTCGTACCCGTCAAGACTGACTGGCTATTCATATTAATAAATATATATTATTCTACAACATATTATCTACTGTAATATAAATAGTAAGGACTGCTTGCTGCGCACCGCGGGTCGGGTGCTTGGGCTGGCCGGGGGAAAAAATGGATTTACGAAAAATCAACTTTTTTTTGGAACCTTGTTTCCAAAAAAGAAAAAATAATGCTGCTTTCCGTAAGCTTTCTCTAGAATTCTCTAGCGTAGCCTCTTTTTAGATTAGATTTAAAACTAGTAGTACGTAGGCTGATTGTAGAGAAGATGAGAATAAATTGAAAAAAAAATCGTAGGATGTTTTAAGTAACGAAAACAACAAAAAAACGTAAACGTTAGTCGAATATCGGCTTAAGCGAGTCCGAGTTTTCTCTGATGATGATGATGATGATGACGATGATGATGACGATTATGATGACCCGCGACGCCATCATCGTACTTCGACTTGTACAGTCCTTAGGATTCACCGAGGTGTTTTAAGTCATTGTTTTACATTGTTAAGCGGAAAAAAAAAGAAATAGGTTTTTAGCTGTAACGAGAGACGGACACATTTTTCCATCCTCCCTGTTCCTCCTCCTCCTCCACCCTCTTCTAACTTGTAACTTTCCTCGTTTTTCCTCCCATCGATATGTTCTCCGCGTTTTCTTTTTTTTTTTGTTCTTTCTCCTGATCATCTCTTTGCGTCACAAGATACGGACGAAAACATGTCATTCTCTAGAACCTTAATTTTGTTTGTTTCTTCTCTCCAGGATATATTGTTATGCGGTGGGCGACCAATCTGAATATGAAAAAGAGTTTCATACATCAGAGAGAAAGAAAACTGAAGATGAGAGTGTGGGAGAGAATGAGAGACAGAGTGAAAATGATGTCGAGGCATTAAGTTAGTTCGAAAAATCGTACGAGAATTAACGATTCGAGGGAGGAAAAAAAGAAAAAAAAAAAAATGAACGCATAGGTTCGAAAATTACATTAAGATGGCGAGGCATAGCACGTAATGAAAATTTTTCTAGATTAAGGCAAGTGTGTCATAGCTAGTTAAGAAATAGGGACTCTTAGAAGTCGATAGGTGCTGTAATAAACAAAACAAAAAAAAAAGGGAAAAAACCAACAAAGTTTAACAACGGTCAGAATTAGATTTTTCATGAAAAGAAAAAAAAAACTCGAAATAAGAACACAGGGCATACGCCACTAAAAGTGCCCTTAGTTTATTTTGGATCGTTTAAAAACGCTAGTCTTTGTGTGAGATAATGTGGGGGTTAGATAGGGTCTTCTAAAGAAACAAACAAAAAAAAAGAGAAAAAGTGAGAAAAGAAAAGAAAAAGAAAAACGAAGAAACAGCAAAACGAATAAAAAAAAAGAAGAACAAGAATGTGAGAGAAAGTGAAAATAAAAATGTGTGAGAGAGAGAGAAAGTGCGAGCCGAGCATGTGGTGTGTAGGTGTATGCATAATTTAAATAATGCGTACTTTAAAAGAAAGAAAAAAAAACCATCTGCCTATAACATGACACAGACTGCAGAAGACACACTGTTACTGTAAACTGCACACTGCGTGTGCACGCTCTGATACGTCACTCTTCTACACTTTGTATGGGGGAGCGTGCACCGAACAGTTTTTAGAGTTACTTACAAGTATGGTTTGGTATATTCAAAGTGAAAGAATCAAATTCTTAATTATTATCGTCCCTTATTTTTGATCAATAAACGATCTGTTTTGGGGATTTATTCGAAACACATTCTTTTATCCTTTCCTTAGTTCAACATCAAGAGTGAATCCCCAAATAGTAATATGATTTTCAACGGGATACATCTTTCTTATACTCATTTTAGAATGAGTTAGATGTTATTTGATGTTTTTAGAATGAATTTAATTTTCATTTCTCCTTTTTTCTTTCCTTTTGCGTTTGAGGGCAACAACATCTGTGAGACGAAGGAACAAATGAACTGTAAAAGTCTGTAAAATAAACTTACTCTCGTACAAAAGATCAGTGAATGTATTTACACATATTCCAAGAGACACTTGAAAGATAAACACTATGCCTTCTGTCGAATCAAGTAGTAGCGACTATTGTATATGCCTTTTTCAACAAATCCCCAGCGATGTTTTCTTGGTATCCTCTAGGACTGAAAGAGAGCTTAAGATGATGGGAAATCAAGTTTATTCTCCATTGAACATCGGTGGAAGGAAAATTATACTATTCGCTAATGTGTAAAGATACAGCATGTGCAATAGACTGAAACGACATTGTCCTTTGTAAGTAAACGTTAGAACGATAAGCCCCCCACATTATCCTAAATTATTGTGTAATACATCCAACGTCCGCCTCTATATTAATCGACGGTAGAATTGTTTCTTGCGAGACCACACACACACGGTAAATTAACATGCCATTCAATTGGCCAATATGGTAGAACGTAAAGTCTTTTTCTTATAGTACTTTTAACACTTTACCGCTCATGCGATTTGTACTATTTTGAGTAAACACTTTAATTTTGTGCGCAATAAAAACAATTTGAAATTCTTAAAGAAAAAAGAAAGAGAGAGAGAAAAAATGAATCTAGGAGCTGGTAATGTACGAACGATTTACTAGATCTCTTCTTTTGTCAATTAAGCGGTGGTTTTATAATGATGTAAAATAAGAAGGTAAAATTAAAGAGAAGAAGAGACATCGCAAAAAGAAACTCATTCAAATAAAAAGTGCGAATTTTGATTTCATATTGAAAGATCTTTCTTAGATCATGAAATACTTTTCTCTGTTAGAACTAGTAGTTCTTTTCTTTTCGTTTTTTTGTACATGTGTTTATTTCTACGAAAATACTTGTCATTGCTTTATATAAATCGCATTCACGTTTAGTTTTATGTTGTTGCAATTAAGAGTAAGATCGTTTTTTCTTTTTCAATTATTTGACGGTAAACTTGCGGAGTTTGTGATCGATATGAACGACGATATATTGAGTTTCATTTAGACGATTACATTGTTTGATTTAGAGTATAATAAATATTAAAATAATTTTAAAAAAGGGCCTATTGTTGTTAATTTTCACTATATATGAGACTTTGTTGTTAAAAATTTCGTATGAGGTAATTTATTATCAACGAACAACAGATTTTGACTTAAATATTCTTACAGTATTATCCGCCCCTCCAGATACCATCAATTTTGGATTCGACCAATTGCAACATAACACTTTATCCTCGTGTCCAGATAGATCAAATAATGGTGCCTTAGGACTGCAATAAAGACACTGTTTTAATATCAATGTACACTGTGCGTGAATGTCGTCATAGAATTGATATCTAACCTTCTGGTGTCCCAAAGTTTCATGTCATTATCATACGCTCCTGAAATAAAAAGATTTTCATCCATGGGTGACCATCTCACAGACTGCACCCACTGGGTGTGAGAAGTAAATACTGATTTCACAAGTGTTCCCTCTAAAAGAAACGTAATTTTAATAAATATTACAATCATTAATTTTTCAATAAAGCAGTTCAAGATCGGAACCTGTAGATCTGGGATCATATAATCTAATGTGTCTATCGGCAGATGCTGCTATAACGTTACGGCTTAGTGGAGAATAATCGAGGTCGAAGAAACTTTTATTGCCAGCAAGTTCGTGCTTGATTCCACCTAATTCCGAATCCCATATTTTTATCGTATGGTCCCACGAAGACGTTATGAGTTCTGTTTTGTCTGACCACACAACACCGCTGATTGCTTCTTTATGTCCTTTCATGGTCCTTTTTGGTGTCTATATAATAAATACACATGTTGATATGAATAATTATATTGTACTTTTGTGTTTCATTTATGTTTATGCATTTCATTTACCCTCGTTTTACCATGTTCTGACTTCAATCTCTTTGAAGTGGATTCACCATCTTCATTTTCATCTTGGTTAGCTAAGAAAATTAATATCGATGACATCATTTTTTTATCTTAACAAACGAGAGTTTCTAATAACGAATGAAATTTATTTACACGTAGACCAGATTTTAAGCATCGTATCCCATGCTCCAGTAGCCATTGTCGTTTTGTCATAATTAACGCTAACAGTTTCGAGGCCACGTTCGTGTCCTCTACATACATGTATACATTCTACTGAATTTTCAGCAATATTCCAGTCCCATATTATAGCTGTCTGATCCTGTGATGCACTGTAAGTTCCAAAGGTATATGAAAATCATTATAAAATAATTTGTCTTTAATTCGTTTAGTACCTAACAAAACTAGCGGTATCGTTATTCAAAGATATCCATGCCACTGCTTTAATTGGTGATGTATGTCCAGGAATAACAAGATGATGTTTCCCTTTAGATGTCCAAATATGCAGTGTATTGTCATAGCAGCCGGTCAATATCCTAATATACATATTTTTTTATATAAAATATCAATTATTGAAAGCATTATAATACACTTTAAATAAATCATATTAAAGCCAACCATTTTTCACAAACATCAACAGCAGCCACCCAATCATCGTGTATAAGACAGTCCTGAGGTTCTGGTGGTGGGTATTTTTCAACATATTCAATATTTATCACCTCCTCTGTAGAAACATTTTTCTCTGCTATATGTTCAGATAATGAAGTACGTAGAAACTGGGAGCATACCAGAAAATCAAACTCTATATCATTCTTAACATCAGTTGACTCTGAAATTCATATCAATCATTTTCTAAGTATACATATATTATTAAACTTTATTAACAAATAAATAGATGGGAATTTGCCTTTTAAGAGTTCATTTATAAGAGTATTTAGTTCACTTGACACAATATTTGTGTGAACAGATAGTGGAAAATCTGGTACAGCATACCTAGAATTACAAATTTTTTTTTTTGACGCATTGTGTACTGTAACAAAATAAATTAACCTCCTAATGTATTATAAAAATAACCACAAAATGTACTTACTGTTCCTGCTTCGTAATAAATCTTATTTGTACTTGTGGAGTACTGTTGTTTAAACTGGTATTAGCCATTTCAGCTTCCCTAGCGTTCATCTTTTAGTTACGTTTTATATAATAATTAGTAATTACAAAAATCACACGTGTATACTACATTTTAAAAAATCAGCTTTAGCCCAAGTACGAGGAGACTAGATATGCCTTTGTTTTCAAAGGGTTTAGAATATTTTAAGTAAGGGGTCCTCGACACCCCGGATGCCATAATGTCGGTATACAAAGAGTGTTATCGGTGCCACGGGGTCCCTAACACCCCAAGATAATTTTTCGGTAGGTAGACAGATTTACCGGTGCTAAGGGGTTCTAGACACCCCGGATGCCATAATGTCGGTATGCAAAGAGTATTAGCGGTACCTCGGGGTCCCTAACACCCCAAGATAATATCTCAGTAGGTAGACAGATTCACCAGTGCTACGGGGTCCCTGACACCCCAGATGCCATAATGTCGGTATGCGAAGAGCGTTATCGGTGCCTTGGGGTCCCTAACACCCCAAGATGATATCTCGGTATGTAGACAGATTCAGCGGTGCTATGGGGTCCTTGACACCCCGGATGACATAATGACGGTATGCAAAGAGTGTTATCGGTGCCTCGGGGTCCCTAACACCCCAAGATGATATCTCGGTATGTAACAGATTCAGCGGTGTTACGGGGTCCTTGACACCCCGGATGCGATAATGTCGGTATGCAAACAGTGTTATCGGTGCCTCGGGGTCCCTAACACCCCAAGATGATATCTCGGTATGTAGACAGATTCAGCGGTGCTACGGGGTCCCTGACACCCCAGATGCCATAATGTCGGTATGCAAAGAGCATTATCGGTGCTTCGGGGTCCCTAACACCCCAAGATGATATCTCGGTATGTAGACAGATTCAGCGGTGCTACGGGGTCCCTGACACCCCAGATGCCATAATGTCGATATGCAAAGAGTGTTATCGGTGCCTTGGGGTCCCTAACACCCCAAGATGGTATCTCGGTATGTAGACAGATTCGCCGGTGCTATGGGGTCCCTGACACCCCAGGATTGTATCAGGTCTGTGTCCAAGGGTGTCATTAGTACAGCGGGGTCCCTTACACACGTGAATAAAGTCAGGTCCGTATGAAAAGGGCGCAACCAGTATAATAATCTTCCACTAATTACTTTCCGGAGTTTATTTAATATATTTTATTTATTTTCTTTGCTTATTAAATAAGCTGATCGAAGGGGAATAACATTTATGATTGTATCCCTCTTCTGAGCCTCGGCCGACCACCCCTTTTATTTATTTTTTTAACCTTCCTTACGAGCCCCGTCTCACTTTTTCCAGTTATTTATTATTTTATCCTTCCTTATGCAGTAAAGCTCACCCTTATCAGTTATTAATTTTTTTATTCTCCTTTATCGGACAAATTCACCCTTCCTAATTATTTATTATTTTATTTCTCTTTATGGGCGTCGCGGGAACCGCCGTTGCCAGTTAATGTCTATCCTATTCCCACTCTTTATGGACCAAAGTTTCCCATTGTAGTTATTTATTTTTTTCATTCTTTTCATGGACCTTGCAGGCACTACTTCCTAATCACCGTATCCTCGAATCCTTTATATCTCTGCATCCCTTACATCTTTGCATCTTTACATCCACGCACCCCTTACATCACTGCTATCCTTTACATCCCTGCTTCCCCTACATCTTTGCACCCTTACATCCCCTCATCCCCTAAACCCCTTATCCCTTATATCTTTCACATCCGTCATATCCGTAAGCTCTTTTTGAGCAAGAAATCGTTACAAATTTAGTTCCTTTTTTCCCGCCAGAGGGCGCTGATTCGAGGTCGAGATTTTAGTTCACATTTTTGCCGCCAGGGGGCCAAAAATCGAGCAAGATTTAGTTCCTTTTTCCGAAACCAGATGGCGCTGATTCGAGGTCGAGATTTTAGTTCACATTTTTGCCGCCAGAGGGCCAAAAATCGAGCAAGATTTAGTTCCTTTTTCCGAAACCAGATGGCGCTGATTCGAGGTCGAGATTTTAGTTCACATTTTTGCCGCCAGAGGGCCAAAAATGGTGCATGGTTTAGTTCCTTTTTCCGAAACCAGATGGCGCTGATCGGAGATTGAGATTTTAGTTCACATTTTTGCCGCCAGAGGGCAAAAAATGGTGCCTGCTTTAGTTCCTTTTTCCGAAACCAGATGGCGCTGATTGGACATTGAGATTTTAGTTCACATTTTTGCCGCTAGGGGGCCAAAAATGGTGCATGCTTTAGTTCCTTTTTCCTAAACCAGATGGCGCTGATCGGACATTGAGATTTTAGTTCACATTTTTGCCGCTAGAGGGCCAAAAATTCAAAATTCAAAATTCAAAAATTGAATTTACTTACCTTTACTTACCTTTACTTACCTTTACTTACCTTTACTGGAACCGGTTTTTATAATATATTATTATATTTATGATATATTTATTATAAGGGTTGCAGAGATGTAAGGGATGAAGGAATAGTTTCAAGGATGTATGGAATACAGGGATGTAAGGGTTGCGGGGATGTAAGGGATGACGGAATAATAGTGTTTCATGGATGTATGGAATACTGGGATGTAAGGGTTGCAGAGATGTAAGGAATGCAGGGATGTAAGGGATACTGAGAAATAGATGATGCAGGATTGTAAGGAATGCAGGGATGTGAGGAATACAGAGATGTAAGTAATGCAGAGATATAAGCGATGCAGGAATATAAAGAAAGGAGGAATGTAAAGGATGCGGTGATGTAAGGGTGCAAATATGTAAGTGCAAGGATGTAAGTGTTACATGGATGTAAGGGATGCGAGGGTATAATTAATGCAGGGATATAAAAGATACGGGAATATAAGGGATGTCGGGATGTAAAGGATGGAGGGATATAAAGAATTAAGGGATGTAAAAGATACGGCGATGTAAGGAAGGCAGTAATGCAGTTTTACAAGGGGTGCAGAGATGTAAAGGAATCAGGGATGTAGAGGATGCGCACGAGAGTAATAAAATCGACACGTTCGTCCTCCTAAAGAGTTTATTCAAGAAGTTAAAAAAATAAATACAGCAAATTAAATGAACGCAGAAAGTAAAATAAGGGTATATGTATGTTTAGCAGGTAGATCTGCACCCCTCGGCGGTTGCTATAAGACTGATGATGTTTCACTTCGCTTTGATAACGGTGTCGCAGCCAGCTACCTTTGTTCGAATCAGTGGATAATCAGCGAGATCTTTCCAACGACGTATAAAGTAGAACCCTAGTAGTTCTTAAGTTAAAATTTTGCTTGCGCTTTATATATAAAAGATAAGATGTATTGGGCTTGGACTAAGTTTAACTGAAATGTGGTGAACGTGAAATTGGTAAAACAGGTACGATTGTCATACCAACTGTGCACTTGGGGTGTCTGGCACCCCCAAAATCATGTCCTCTGGAGAATAAATGCATGTCCAATCTTCTTTTATCTGTAATCATTGGTTGAAGTGAAGGCAGTATTATTTTGAAAGCCTACAAATCATTTTATTGTGTTGAAAATTATCGACTACTTTATGCAGTTTATATAAGAGACTTTTGGAGAAAAACATTTAATCAAAGCATGAATCAAGAAAGCCAAATTGATACAGATGTGAATCTTTATTTTATTGTACCAAGCAAATATGAATCTGAGAATGATTGTACTGAAGAAATGTGGCATGCATACAATGTTAGTAAGCAGTCATTAACATGAATGAAAATTTTGTTTAAGTATAAAAATGAAATACACGAATGATTCTTTTAGAAATGTTGCGAGCATGATTTGGAACCAAGATGGATAACTGACAAGAAATGCAGTAAAATGGAACCTGCTAAAAATGATGTTTTTGTAATGGAAGAATTTGAAGGAGACGCGTTTGATAAATTAAAAACATTCAAGTGTCCGTATGTAGAATCTTCTGTTAACAGGATATTTTCTATAATTAATTTTATTGTATGATATTAATCATAAGTTACCTTTGACAGTATAGTGGGACCAAGATGTTTATTAGTTTGTTTTATTAATGGAGAACCAATTCCAGAAGGAAATAATCCAGTATACACAACTGCTATGAGAGGTCTTTGCGTATGTGCTTCTGGTTTACCTCTGGAAGAAAAAGTACATTTTTAAAAATTGCTATTACTGAATCATTAATGTACAAGCATTTAAAAATCTTATGGTTACAGGAACACATAACAAAATTAGTAGAGTATATGGGAGGTATTTTTACAAAACAATTACGCAGTCGTGTTACGCATCTTGTAACAGGATCTGTCATGTCTGCTAAATATGAGGTAAGTAGAATTTATTCTATCACTAAAATCAGTATTATTGTAATACTTGCCCCTTTTCAACAGACTGCAATAGATATGCAGATACCAATAGTTACAAAAGAATGGGTTGAAGCAATTTGGAAAACAAATTTAAACGATTTTATTAAAGCAGATGATAGTATGTTTAATAAATACAAAGCACCTGTTTTTCTCAATCTAGTCGTCACTTCGACAAACCTTCCAAAACGTCAAAAAGAAGAAATTAAACATTTAATTAATGACAATGGAGGGGTATGATATATCTTATAGAATAATTTTATTTTTCAGTATTCTATTTTATTGCTTGCATCGTTATTTTTCTAGACATTTATGGGTCCCTTAGATGGTGCAAAAGTTAAAGTTGTATTAGCTCCTACAAATAGTCCAATAAGCGATAAACTTAAGTATGCAAAACAAGCAAACATTGCTTGTTTAACACCAGACTGGGTATACGAGAGTCTAAAAGTGGGCTATGCTTTGCCTTTTAAAGATTACTTGATTACATCATTAAAAGTATCTTCTACTCCTGAAAAATCAAACGGTAAAAATACTTTACTGATACTGTAATACCTAACTGTAGTTTGATAATTAATATTACTACTTTTTAAACTGTGACAGTGTACGAAAGTCTTAACTGTTCTGCTATAAGTACCATACCATGTGATTTACAAGTTAACGGTGTAGATGAGACTTTAACTACTACAATGAGTAGTGTTTCTACGGTGGAGCACTTTATTAATAATACTGCTAATGGTTAGTAATAAAGTATACAAGAAATGATTTATACTGTTAATACATTCGACTCTATATTTTTTGTTATTATAGTTTTGGATAGGCTTACTTTCAGCGAAGCAAAATCGGCTGGTCCGTTTTTAGATGGATGCAACGTACGTAAATTAAATACTTGTTAGTTCTCAATACTATGTAACTTTTTCCACCAATTTTATTCACTTTATAGATTTATCTTGCTGGATTTGCCGCTAATCAAAGGGACAAAATTAATAAAATATTGAATGTAGGTAGCGCAACACGTCTTGACGATATATCGGACGTTCTAACGCACGTTATTGTGGGAGACGAAAACAAAGCAAGCAGCGAATTAAAATTAATGAAGTCAAAAGGATTATGGTATGGTATTAAGTTAATATCTTGATTAGTTTTTTTATTTTTATATTTTAACACCGTGGTTATTTTATCTAGCCCCTACATATTAAATTTAGAATGGCTTGAGCAAAGCATTAAATTAAAACGACCTGCACCAGAAGAAAACTTTTTATTTGAAGCAATACATAGTGTAATGCAGAAAGCTCCAGAACCTCCGTCTCCATTAAGTAAAAAGGTAATTATAAAGAAATATCATGTAAGATGTATTTAATAAATGTATATTTTTATAGAACTTACAAATGTTGCAAAAACCAAGGAAGGTTTCCATACCAACCTTCGATATAGATAGGAAACTATCGATGATAGAAAAAGAAAATGAAAAACAGACATCTGATATTCTCGAACACTATCTTCAAGATACAATTGGTAATGGTTTTTAATAATCGCCAGCATATTTTATGTACAAAGTAATTTCAACATAAATATAATTTTTTTATGATTTTCGATTTAGTTGTGGCAAATGAAAACACGCTGCAGGAGTTTCTAAAGCCACAAACGCCCATCACTGAAGAAACTAATAATAAAACTTTAGTTGATAATAATAAAAAGCAGGAGAAAAATGTCAAAGGATCATTCGCGCAAAGCAAGTTAGCAGACGATAGCTTGGTACCTATCAGTCAGGTGTCCACTTTAAATGACAAACTATTTGAAGGTAATTTAAAACACATATTTAACGCATGTGTAATAAGTAATTCAAATATAATAATCTATAGAAATTTTATAGGACTTACATTTGTGGTAATTGGTTTTAATGACGAAGATAGTTACGTAGCCGAGACTATAATAGCAATGGGTGGACAAGTAGTTTCAAGTATGTTTTCCGGTATCCCAGATTATGGTGTTGTACCAAAATGTGGTGCAACTTTGAAACATACAGTGAATGAAATTGTCACTGATTTATTCATCGTAAGTTTCTTTCCCCATAAACCTCGATAATTTTAATGTATTCTATTGGTAATAATGTTTATAGGAAGACTGTGTAAATCAAGAACAAATAGTTGAAATCATGTACTATCACAGGCCATTGTCTATAAAGAAATATTTGAATCCATTATCAGGCTGTGTTATCACAATGAGCATGTATACCGGTGTAGAACGAACGTACCTTGCAACGTTAGCTACGGAATTGGATGCCATGTATTATTGTTTATTAACTAACGAATAATTGTAATAAATGCAAGTACTAAATCGTTATTGGTTTTAGGGTTCAGGATATATTCGTTCGTAAGACTAATATTGAAAAAAATACGTATGGAAGCACGCATTTAGTTTGTCCAACACCTGAAGGCAATAAATATAATGCAGCGGTGAAATGGAAATTACCAGCTGTAACTGCAGACTGGTTAAAATCTTGCGCGGCTCAGTCGAAACGAGTTGATGAAACTCCATTCCTTGTGGGGGAAACTATAGGTATGAGAAACTTAGAGTTACATCATTATTTGAATTACTTAAATGTCTTTCCTTATTAAGCTCCCGAAAGGCCAAATCAAACGGAGAATTTAAATACAAGTTTATCTAAAACCAGTTCGAGTCAAATGGGACCTCCAACCGAGCCAGCAATTAAAAATATTATTACCCCGAAACGTCATTTATCTCGTTTAGAGGTAAGTAACGATATGTTGTTTGGAAACGATTTATAATACCGATTTATAATGGTTATTGTTTTAAAAATTACATTGCAGAGTCAAGAGAGCGGTTCCGGCGACACACCGTTAATAAATAAAAGACTCAGTCTACTTATGAATAAAACTCCACAGTCGCCGTTTCACGTTTCTACACCAGAAACACCATATGGTCAAGTATTCAAGCCAGATCCTTCTCCAGATACTAGAAAAGGTTGGATCAAATGGGTTGACAACTTCCCGGATTTGAGAGTAGAAGAGCCACCTCTGAAGAAAAGAGCACTCAGCACTGTCTGTATTTTGTAAATTAATCATATATTCATTTTTAACACACGCATACATGTTAATACGACGAAATTTACAGCCTCTTTCAGAACTGAAGAAACAATTATGGCAAAAATTGAAGAAACAAAGTTGTAATTTGGAGGTAATACATTTGATTACGTGTACATACATGCTTATAACAACTGCAGGTTTTTAATCTTTAACTGTAACAGGATAGCACAGATGAAACATCATCTACTGCTAATGATCAATCATTAGCCGAAGCAGAGGAAACAGTAGAACCAGGAGAAACAGAAAATGATAGTTGTAAAGCAACTGATATTGCACCTATTAATAGGAAATTGGAATTTACCGACGAAAATAGTCCCCTAGAAAATAATGCAATTAATATGTAAGTTGATACGTAAGAATTTTTATATAAATTATACATGGATATAATTTTATATGATAGGCAAATTGCCCAGTTGGATCAGATACTACAACGAACATCGAGCACCCCTGAAAATAGGTATTCTCTTTCTGGTGAAAAAGCAAACGCGTACAATACAGAACCCTCTGATCCCATACAGAAATGTAAGTATATTCTATCATTATATTAATATTTAATTGTCTATTTAACGTATAATTTCTGTATAGTTATTGCAAAAGATTCTCAACCTGTTGATGCCATTGTGTGGGAGGATCCGAGTCATGCAAAACGAGTAAGTTAAACAAGTCTATTTTACCTTGAATAATAATAATTGATGTTAATATGAATTATAGTTGACAATGCGCGAAGAGGAGAATGAAGATGTTGATCAGAATGAGCCCGATGCAGATCAGACCGATGAAGAATCAGTGGAAGAGGTTGAGCCTCTGAAAAGGCCGAAATTCATGCTCTCAGGCATAAAGGTATGTTGATTGGTATTACATATATGTATAATGTTTTGTTAACATATTTACTTCAACAGGATAGAACGGCATATGAACAAGTAATAAAAGACTTGGGAGGTGATGTATCTTCGGATCCCACTTTTGATATTACAGCGACACATTTGCTTTGTATCAGACCATCAAGAAATGAAAAGATGTTGGGTAGTATAGCATCTGGGAAGTGGGTTCTTCATTGTATGTACCTACGAGATTCCGAACAGGAAGGGAAGTTTCTAGATGTTAGTATCATCAATTTATTATAGTTCAACTTCTTATCCGTAACATTATCTCCTTTATTTCACTGAATTATTATCAGGAAGAAAAGTATGAATGGGGCAATCCAGAAAGTAAAGATGTTATACCAGCTCCAAATGGAGAAATTGAAGAAACTATTGCAGCAGCTGCATACAGGTGGAGACTCAAATTGCTCAAAGAACCAAACGGGCCCTTTAATAACATGGTTGCATTACTGCTAGTCGCCGGAGATAAGTACGACCAATTCAAAAGATTAATCGAAGCTGGAGGGGGCAGAGTTGTTCAAGCAAGGTAATCATACTTAAAATTTTTCATTGGTTATTCGTTATTAAAATAATTCATGTGGTTTTTCTTTTAGACCACCTTATGACACAAGTCCAACGGGCAAGAAAATTACTCATTGCTTCGTAAATGTCAGACAAGTTAGTCAACCAATCGATTGGGCAATGTTAGCCAGCAAAGGTATCCTTTGTTTTATGCCACAATATTTGAGCGATTATCTTACTGCACGAACGCCATTGAATCCTCGAGAGTGTGTAATACCAGAGTTTAAAAAGTATTTAACATTACTGCCAAAATAAAATAATAATAAGTAACATTATTTTATTCTTTGTATGATAGTATTAAAAATTTATGTTTGTATATACAAAAAAGAAAATACATTTATTATTCTATTAAATTGTATTTATAACGTCTTAGACATATATTATCACGAACAAATGAATTATTTTTTTTTTAATCACTTACGATTGAGGACCTGTTAAAGTTTTGTCAATTTTAAGTTGAATTCGTCCACGGGTGACAAGAATACGTTACGGTTATCGATCTCACAATTACAAGTGGAGTCAAATGAAACTTCATAATCTTTAATTATTGTCAGTACACCTATCGCACTCTGTAACTGGCCGAGCCGTGTACCTGTAAACCATATTTTAATTAATAAAAACGATACGATTTTTCAATGAACAGCTTTTCTTACCAACGCAAACTCGTGGACCATCGCCAAAGGGTATATACGTGCACTGTGAAATTTCATCTTTATTCTCCTCGTTGTATCTATCAGGATTGAAAGTCAGAGGATCGCGATAGTATTTTGGATCACGTTGGAGACCGGTCAAAGTTATATAAACAGGCGTTCCTTTTTCTATAACTATATTACTTCCTGGTATCTAAAAATTGCGCAATGACGTATAGACCTTAATAGACAATAATAGCATCACATGTGTAAACATGATATGCTTGATAAGGAAAATTGACGCTGAAGATTTCCTTGTTCCATTACACAGGGAAAAAGCATTTCAGTGAAAAGATATTACCTTGTAATTTTTAATTGGAACTCGATCAAGGATCGGAGCTGGTGGATATAGTCTCAGAGTTTCTGAAATTACTTGATAAAGATATTTCATGCTCAGAACACCCTCATACGTCATTCCATGTTCTGCTAACTTCTCTAAAATTTCTGCTCTCGTTCGTTTCTGAATCTCCGGATGCTTTGCAAGTTCAGCAAGGGTGAAGCAAATAGTGGATACACTAGATTCACGAGCAGCAATGAAAAAAATAGCCGATTGGCTCACCAGTGCATCACCCGTAAATTCTATAAATATTTTACAAATAAACAAGATGATACAGTGGAATGAATATAGTGTCAACTATTTCTCACTGACTGAATTCTTCGTTGTCTTGTTTTTCATTCTTTAGTTCTACTAATAAATCAATCAAGTCTCCTCGTTTAACTTTGCTTAACTCTCTAGCATCCATGGAATCCCAAAATACTTTGCGGAAGTAATCAGTAGATGAGCCTAACATTTGAGCACCCACAAATGGTGCAACCGATGGGAAGAAGAACATTGTGGCAAATTGTATGCCTCGCTTGATGGAAAAATTTAGTCCTTCTTGAACTTTTAAAGAAAGAAGAAACGTAAGTATCAGATTATCTCAAAGAGGAATAAGTAAACTTGTAAATATTTTTACAAAGATACCTTTTTCAAAGAATTCTGTATTATCAGGATTAAAAGAATTCACTTGAACTCCAAAAGCAATATTTGATATGATATCAGTCGTATATCTTAAGGTAACATCTCTTAAAAGGATACTTTTTGTTTTTGTACCATTTGAAAACTGATCCTCTAAATATTTGCTCATTGATTCAGAATTTTCCACTACCAAATAGAAAAGTTTCTTTAGTTTTAAACTGGTGAATATAGGTGAAAGCTTGGTCCTGAAACAAGAAAGTATTCCTATCAATAAGAGATAGTTTTAATAATGATTTTAAACGCACCTGAGATGTTTCCATGGAGGGTTCTGAATGGTAAAGAGATTTGTGTTACCGATTTCATCGTGGAACGAGCGAGCAGAGAAATAACGATTTGGGAAAATATTAAAGTCCTTGATTAGAATCTGTTTAATCAGTTCCGGACTTTTCACTAACAGAAAGGGTTTATGAAAAATATAAAATCCCAGAACGACGTCCTTCTCTGAGGCTTGCTGATACAATTCACCGAACACATTTGCAAAACTTTTCTTCTGTAATGCAGCCTCTTTTACATTGCCGAAAAACCAGTGACCCTGTACAGAAGTCACCCCTCGTCTTTTCCAATAACTTCGTTTATATTTCACATAAAGAACGAGAATCGCTAAAAGAGCGACCACTGTAAAGCCAAAATTCAAAAGAAAGGAAGTTAACACTGCCATAGTTTAGAACTTTATGTTACTAGTTCCTATGTGTCACTGATATAAGTTCTGCTGGACATGTACAATTATATAACTATGATTGACAAATATTCTGTGTAATACTTATTCAGTGGAGATTAATCTCAAGTTACAGATATCTTGGTGATTGAATATTTTTACAGTATACTTATTTTCTTTTAAATAAAGAAACAAATCATTGCGTCAGATACATGACGCGCATTTCTCAAAAGATAAATTATATAAATTATACATGGTGTATCTAATGGTTTATCGAGTAAGACAATAATTATCAGCACAACCAGTAATGACTTAGCAAATGGACGCAGCATAAAAGAAAAATATCATTTATCAGTACTATTAATGAATACATCAGAGAATGATAGTACACAATTAAATGAGAATAAAAATATCTGTCGATACAGTAATTGCTGACTAGAATGTACGGAAAGAAAACATTCTGTAAGAGTTTAATTAATGTCTATAGAATTAACTGCTCGTTAATGACTCCAGTAAGCCGAATATACAGACTATGCGTAAAACGCATAGATTCCTTACGAGTTTGTTTATTTTAGCGTCTATAATACACGAATTATACATATTTATATTTATATATATATTATTAGTACAATCTTACACAATTCGATAAAGAGCCTAGTATAAACATCGTATTATCGAACGAAATTTTAAATCCTACAGGTAACTATAGATACATATACAGTCGTAGATTCATGATTTTCTTTCTACTCATGTGTATCGACAAGTTAAGCGTATTTCTCGAGGCTAAATTTCTTTCTTATTAGTTCTTACAAAACCGAAGAAAAAATACGGTCTCAATGCGCGATGGAGCATCGTTAGAGATGTCTTTCATAAAATATTCGTTTCTCGTGAAGTAATACAGGGTATCCCGTAATTCCTGTAACTCCCGGAAATGGGGGGTTGGTGGGCTGATTCTGAACAACATTTTCCTTTACCAAAATGTCGTTTGAAGCTTCGTTTTTGAGTTATTAACGAAAAACACTGGCCAATCAGAGCGCGCCTTTAGCGCGGGCCGAAGCACGAGTGTGTTGGCTTTCGGCCACGTTCGGTCATGATCGTGAATAAACGCATTGACACAAACGCATTCATTATTCACGAATAACGAATAATTCCACGTTGTTCTTAACCCATTTGCTACCACGATCCCCAAATGGGGATTTGAATATATATATATTTTTTTTATCACATGCAATAGGATTATATTAAATAAAATGTTAAATAAAAATATCAAAAATAAAAATTTAGCAGTTATTCATACTTAAGCGCTTACCTTGATACCCACGCTGTGCTAATGCGATTGTTCACGACCACGACCGAGCGCGGCCGAAAGCCAACGCTCTCGTGGTTCGGCCCGCGCTAAAGGCGCGCTCTGATTGGCCAGTGTTTTTCGTTAATAATTTAAAAACGAAGCTTCAACCAACATTTTGGTAAAGGAAAATGTTGTTCAGAATCACCCCAGCAACCCCCATTTCCGGGAGATACCCTGTATATTAAAGTTGAAAGATAGATACACATCTATCGCATAAAGAAAATTGCACTGCACCTGACACAAGAAACCTATTTTGTCAGAATCCTCGATTAGGTACTAAAATGCAAAGCATTCGTTTCGAATGGGCTCCAGATTTGATGAAATTGAAATAATGAGCAGCGTCAATTTCATAATCGTCGTCGATGTTCCGAGTGTTTAAAACAAACAACGTCATAATAAAATTATAATAATACTACCCGAAATTCTCCGAAATGAATAATGCGTAACAATATTTTTAGTGAGTAATGATATATATACAAATTCGGCCAGCAAATTTTGAAAGAAAAACTACCACAGTAAAACCAAGATAATTCAATACTTATGCAATAATAATCACTTTTCCTGAATAAAATCGAAGTACAAAAGAAACTAGCATTGTCGCATGCGGGTGAAATAGTATTGATTTTTGCATAAATATTGCAGTTGTATTGTTTGAACCGAAATATGGTTACAACATCGAACTGATTGCGGTTAAATTACCTGCAATACCTTTTGGAATGTTGTCACTATTTTAAGAGGCCCCAAAATTGAACGATGATTTCCGTTTCCCTTTATTCAAACCACCTGAATTCGAAATAAAATTGTTCCTAATGCTAAATCGATCCGAGTGCGTCTTTTGAGATATATTTACTTTGGTTGAGCATCTGGTTGAGTTTGCTGTTGCTGTTGCGGTTGTTGTACTTGCTGAGGATGAACAGGATGAGTAATGGTTTGTAATCTGACTTGACTAGGTCCAGGACTGCCTCTCGCAGTCGTAACAACGGGTTTTCCTTGAGTAGGTGTAGCTTGTCGCAATTGAGCACTGCTTGCTGTCACAACTTGAATCGTTTGCTTCAAAGCAGCAGATACGACTGGAATTACTCGCGTTTGCAGGGGAGATTTTGCTAAGACAACCTGACCGGGCTGAGAAGAGACTGCTTGTCCTCCAGCGGAGACCTGAAATCATACATATATTGTTAGTATAAAGAAACAAGAATATTAATAATTTAGTGGAAAGCACTAAATTAAGGCGGCGCGATATAGCGGTGCTGATTAGCCATCAATGAGAACTATGCAGTTAGGGGATGGTCCCCTGAGCCACCACCTGCTGATTAGCGAAAAACTTCAAAGGGGGACTTTGACCCCCGATTTCGGGTGGAAGGAGTGGTCCTAGAGGACTGAAAATTTGGACGTGTTTCCGGTTATCGACCCTTCTGCGTTCAATGGTCAAGGTTCCAAGTCGATACCTCTTACCGTTTAGCTGCTACGGAGCGGGATAGACAGACAGACATTCACAATTGCAATGGCGGTTGCGTCGCCAATAAAGAATACGAAATACATAAAAGATTGAAACGTATAATACACAAACATACGTGGGTAAATTGTTGCATTGCCGACGGTTGAACGTGTTTCATAACTTGTTGGATCTGCTGCACAGTCATAGTCGCAGGTAAAGATTTCTGTTGTACTATCAATTGAGTCTGTACACCAGTTTTACCAGCAACTTGCGTTAACTGGGCGACCTTTTGCGCTGGTAATTTCCTCTGTGTAATAATTTGAGGATGAATAGCAAGTTGACGTATTTGTTGAGACGTTGCTGTGCGTACACTGGCTACGTTCGCGGCTTTCACCAAGGTAGCAACTGGCGTACCACCGGCGGACGTTCCAGCCGGTTGCACTTGCAAACCAGCTTGGGCGAATATTTGAGCCGGAGTAAGCCCGGTTTGCGTAGGTACTTGTACCTGAGCCACAGCTTTCGCTTGCTGCTGCAAAGCCTGTCGTTTCAATAGAGCAGCCATTTCGGTTTCCGATACTGTACGCGCTACCGTCTGTTTCCCAACGGTTGTTTGCGCAACGGTACCAGCGGTTATACCCTGCTTCATCAGGGTGGCCCTTTGCTGCGCGGCAGCAGTTGAAACAGCCACCGATACTTTTTGACCGCTCACACCCTGAGCCTGCAGTACTTTCATATGCTGTTGCCGTAAGAGTACTTGTTGCTGTCTATAATACTGCAACTGTGCGGCAGTTAGCGTTTTACTACCGGATGCCGTAGCTACGGTAACCCCAACGATACCCTTCTGCGTGGCCGAGGGAGAACTCTGCGCAGCGGATACCAAGCTCGCTGTCGCGATTCTTTGAGCAGCTTGAAGATTACCAACGCTGACAACGGTCGGTGCTGTTCGCGTCTCTTGCATGGTCAATGTTCCACCTGGTCGAGTTTTTACCGCCGACGTGGCAACCGTTGTTCCACACGTGGTAACATTCGTCATTGTTGTGACGGTTTTCATCGTTGTCAAACCAGTCGTCACGGTCGTGACGACTTGGGTCAACTGATGTACTTGAGGACTCGTGGTACTCGAAATATTTTGCTGTGATTGTTGTTGCTGTTGCAATTTTATTTGTTGCTGCTGCTGCTGTTGCTGAGCTTGTTGTTGCTGCTGCTGCTGCTGCTGTTGGGCTTGCTGCTGCTGCTGCTGCTGTTGCTGCTGTTGCTGCTGCAGCAGACGAGCAGCTACTTGTTGCTGTTGCTCAGCCGTTAAAACCTGAATAAAAAGATATATATAAATTTCTATGCATTTCATTATTTCGATAATTGAGACTTTACGTTTTATCATACTAACAGCGTGTTTATGTTTCTCCTTTGCGATCCTGTCGGCTCGTCGCGTCGCAACATCTATAGGTGCCAAAGGATTATCGTATTGTATGCCACATTCGGCTAAAACGGCAGCGTTAGTAGGATTCTTCATTAATGGATTAACGAGTAACGGTTTAACGGTAGGCGTTCTCTTATTGGAAACAGATTTAATCGTATCGAATCTTTGACAGCACATTAACGTGAACGAATGATTTTTATCCTGATTATACAACTGAGACGTTTTCATTGGCCTGTTTGTTTTACTTTGTTGCTAAAAGAAGACGATTAAACAACGATAATTTTTGTTTGTCAACATCTCTCTTCAAACGTACAATAAAAAATATCGCAATATACCTCGGATACTTGAGGCATCTTGTAAACGCCTTTCTGTTTCTTTTGCTTTTTCGGCGTTGTATCGTAAAGTAATTTTCCTTCTTCCCTCGGTACTATCACCGATTCATATCTGCTTCTACATTGCTTAGGAGACCTGTAGATCCGGGAAGTATTGTTCACTATGTCAGCAACTAAATCCCAATTCGGTGTATGACCAGGTGACAATATCATTAAATTCAATGGCAGTCCTTGGTATATTTGTATCGCTTGAAGAAGAGCCCAATCCTCGTGTATCATCCAGTCTAAAACATGCTCTTGGTCCGCGGAAGACTTGGACATGTGCGATGGTTTAATACCCGACAGTGGTATCGATGGACGAACTATACGATATTTATGTAACTTCATGTCGCGACGCATTTTCATAAGCGCCGGCGAAGGCCGATCGAACAAAGATCTCGGTGCGTAAACCGATTCCTCTTTGTGCCGCATTTTAACCGCTCGTCGTCCTATATAATAAAGGAAAATGAATTAGGGTACCATTCTTATGCAGAACCATTTAAACGAATACAAATACACTTACCATCGCGATCGCTAAGTCCAGCGTCGATTCTACTTCTCTTTTGTTCTTTTTTAATGTATATCGGAGGTAATTGAGCCTCTGACATGGGAGTATTTTCATAAAGGAATCC